TTTTATGGATTAAAAATCATACCAAATTATAATCCTTGTGGTATAGATTAATTTGGTATAAATATCTCATTTTTGAATCTGAGGGTCGAAACCCACTTTTTCCTAGAACAGCCCCCATATGATGAAATTTTATATGTTGTAATATATTTGGAACTGCCAAATATTTGATGATAGTGATTATAATATGAAAAGTGACTATACATGATGAATTTTAATATAAAAAAAATCGGGAATAAAAAATGTGTGACTATATAGGAGTTGTGGCTATATTGGATGTGACTATATAGGAGTCTGACTGTATTTTGAAATTTGGCCGCGTGGCGCAGCAATAGGAGTCTTTAGACCGAGCCAACCATATATGAAAAATTTGTAAGTGAACTGCGACTTTGTCACGTGAATATTTATTAAATCGTGAAAATAATCGGTAAATTGCAGTCTGGATATATAGTTGCCGAAATTTCAAATAACATAGTAAAGTTACCAACTTTAAACCATTATAACTTTTTTTACTACTAAATAACTCAAAAACAACTTTTATTACATTATTTTTCATGTCTAGAAGATTGCAAAAGTAGAGTTTTGGTAAAATAGCCCGTATTTAGTAAAGTATCAGCTTTAAAGATTGGCAACATTTTGTGATGTCTTTAGATAATTAGCACTATATCCATTGCAAATTCCCTGTTTTTTTTATTAAGCAAATAGGGTCTAATATTTTCACCAATTATAATTTATATATTATAGATCAATATTATATAAAAAGCTCAATTTTGGTCAGATGACCCCAGAGGTGGTTTTTCACCAGATTTAAGGCCATGCGAGATTGTTCCAATGTCTCACCATTATATTTAGTCATGGATCTTTCATGTTCAAATATTTTTTCAAGAAATTTCTACTATTCCTGGTTATACATAGGATGGTAATTTTTTGCCAAAAACACAATACGTAATAATTATGAAATTAATTACGCATGACGAAATTATTCATTATAGGAAAAATTAATTATAGATGATGTAAAATCCATAAATTTTATATTTTATATCTAAAAATAAAATATTCTTTTTACACTTTATAAAGTATTAAATAAAAGTACTAACATAAAATTTTAAAGTTTTTCAATTTTTGTTAAACCATAAACAATATTTTGTCTTTGAAGTAAAAAAAAAAAAATCATTTTTAATGAAAGATACAATTTTATAATATTTTATTATCCTAAAATGATGTTCTTAAATATAAAAAAATACATATTGATAGGACGGAAAAGCTGTTAGGTCACAAGGAAGCAATAATATTGGCCGAACTTTCTGATAGGACGTTTAATTTTAATTTTTTTAAAAATCATTACAAAAATATGCCACTTTTGGCTAAATGAAAAACATCAAGTTAATTAATTAATATTTCAGAGCCTTGCTAATAAGTAGAGGCAGAAATATTTATTTATTATCATCACTTGTAATAATAATTTCATGCATAATAATAAATAAATAAATTCTTTGTTTCATTTATAAAACACTTTGTAATCAGAAATTAAACAGTAGGGTTTAATTATCCATTTGGTTATCAAATTTGTATAGAACTCTGAGGTTTGTTTTATTGGCTTTGGTATAAAGCCAAGGTTTTGACCAGTGTAGTGTTAACACGGGTTGTATAGAAAATTTTCAGTTTCTTTGATCTCAAATAGCATTTATCTCTGTACAAGTCACACCCATTATAATGACAATCTTGTTATAATGACATTTTTTAAAAAACCAAATTTATAAATTTTTTTTATAATAGTAATTTATAGAATTTATTCCGTTATAATGATACTCGTTATAATACTAACGACATATCAGTATAATGGAAGATCATTCTGAATTCTAGTAACACTTCCGTATAATGCTGGCGCAAATTTTCGCAGATCACTAATTGAAATTTTCCGGAACCCATACTTCATTCCTAAAAAACTACTATTTATACGAATTTATAAATTGTATTTGCAAATGTAATAAATAATAAGAAACCCAAAGTTTTAATATACAAATTTTCAAAGGGACTTTCTTATAAAATATTTTATCTTTATATGGAGGGACCACTGGATTCTTGCCTAAAATTGCTATATAAAAATTAAGATTCAAGTATAATATTTAATTAATTATTCAAGAAAAAAATATAAATAGGCGTTTGTGTTTAGTTTTATTCAAAAAAAAGAAATATAAATAGATGTTTGGTTACTTTGAAAAGTTTAAATTTTAAAATTTAATGTCGCGCGTAATCATGCTTAATCACGTGAGGAACGGTCATATTCCAAAAATTCTAAAAATTATTATTATATTAATGATCGGCAAAATTTTGCAGTTGTCTCACAGAGCACGAATTAATAACAAACACAGTCAGTTAGTTGTTGACAATTACGAACATCCAAGTAAGATTAGACAGCCTTCTTTTGGACTGACTCATGAGCCCGATAATGCAAGAGATTGCTATACTGTAAGTGTGATTTGTATATTTAGTTAGGGCATTATTAACTTTGATACACTTTGCGTTATCACTTGATTGGTATTAGTTGAGGATAGTTTGCTAGAGCAGTATTTTTAGAATTGCATCCAAGCCTTAGCCTTAATAAATGAGTGTTGAAGACATATTAATAATCATCATGATTGAAGCTTCCTTGATAGTAGTAAGTCATGGTCTATAAGTAAATCTGATTGTAATATTTTTGATAAAATGAAGAACAAGCTAATAAAATCAAGTAAAAAAAAAAAGAATAATCATAATCTTTATTATGGGAGGAAAAAATTTAATTCTAAAATTACAAAAAATACTCGAATAGTTAATCAATAAATAATTTTTAACTAGTTAATTAATCAAGGGACCAAAACAGTTCTAACAACATCATCAACTGCTTGTGCAAAATAGTCAACATTTGATGAATTTAATCCTGCCATTGAAATACGTCCATTATCAACCAAATAAATATGATATTTTTCTTTAAGCATTTTAACATGTTGTGCTATGTTTTTACATAAGAATTAATCAATTAATCATTTAATGAAATTCTTTTTAATAACATGTATTTATTCATTTGTTTTATTACCTTTGAGCCCAGTATAAGAAAACATTCCAATTTGATCTGTTATATGATTCCAAGTTCCTGGAGTATTTAGCTCAATAAGTTTTTCATAAAGACGTTTGCGCATCTCTTGTATACGATAACTCATAGTTTTAAGATTTTCTGTCCTATTTAACAAATGAAACAATTATTATCACTACTATTGTGATATTATTAATTATTAATATTATGATAATTAAATAAAGAACACCTACCACTCAGTATAAAGAGCTGGATCATTTAACACAGTGTTAACAATACGAGCTCCATGAATTGGCGGATTAGAAATTTCAGCACGTTGAAGTTTTGCAAGTTGACTTTCTACTCTTGCAGCTGCATCAGCATTCTTAAGAACAAATGTTAAACATCCAGCACGTTGCCCTAAAATCAAGTATAAAATCAAATAATTTGAATGATATTAATTTTATTAATTTAAAAAATTTATACACTCAAAAAAAAAAACAACAAATACCATATAAACCAAAATTTTTTGCAAAAGATTGACAAATTAATAATTCGAACCCGCGTTCAATAAAGTAACGAACAGCCCAAGCATCTTTATCTAAATCACCACTTGCAAAACCTTGATATGCACAATCAAAAAATGGGAAATGACCTTTAGACTATAAATGTGAAATAAGGATATAAAAAGTACTTGTGTAAGTTTCATACGTAATAATAATAATGATGATGATGATGATGGTGATGATATTTTTATCCCCCCCAAAACATTTTTGAATCAATATCAACATACTTCCATAACATCAGCAATCATTATCCATTGTTCTTGAGTAGGATCTACGCCAGTTGGATTATGAGCACATGCATGTAATAAAATAATAGATCCATCTTGTGCTGACTATTATAACAAAGTTACAAGTTAATATATAATATAAGTTATTATTTATTATAAATGTGTATATATTCATGCATGTATGTAAGTACCTTGAGGGATTGTAATAATCCATCAATATCCAATCCAATTGTTGAAGGATTATAATAAACATAATCCCCAACATCTAATCCAATTGTATTGAAAATAGGTTTATGATTTGCTGAATAATAATAATAATGACAATAGTATAGTTCATAAGAATAAATATAACAATCAATTAATAACATAAAATAATATAGAATATAATTATAATACCCCATGTAGGATTAGACACATAGATTGTAGAAGCTTTTTTATAGAATCTAGATAAGAATAATCCACCCAAGTGGTTTGCACCTGTTCCTGATATTGTCTGTACACTTACAATCTACCATAACAAAAATAAAAAATTTAAATTTTCGCGTCATAAATAATAATAAAAAATCAACAGTTAATTACTCTATTTTCTTTAATGACTGGACTGTTTTCACCAAGAATCAATCTAACAGCTGCTTCTTTAAACGGTTTAAGTCCAGTAATGGGAAGATATTCATGATTTAATGTGGAATTATTTATAATAATTTGTTCGGCCTGAAAAAAATAGATATATAAGAATTATTATTTTTTGAATTAATTTTTAATCGATTAATCGATTCCTCTCAATTCTTATGCTGTGATACCTTTTTTACAACTGGTAAAATCCAAGGTTTTCCATTGTCATCACGATATGCACCAACACCCAAGTTTACTTTTTGAGTATCAGTATCTGCGTTATATGAAGCAGTAAGATTGAAGATAACATCTGGAGGTGCAAGTGGAACCTCTTGAAAAATAGATTTTGTCGCTATAATAAAGATTTTTATTATTATTGATTTATTAGGGAAGGAAAATTTTTTTTCTTTTAATTTAAAAAAAAAAAAACAAAAACTAACATGACATTGAATTTATCAAATGTTTTTTAAGTTGTTCTATACGTTGTTGAATAAACATCTATTTATATTTAATATTTTGTGAGAAAAAAGATTATCATTCAATCAAATATATGCAGATCTAAATAATTAATGAGTCATTCATTCATTAATATTAATTTATCGTGGGAAACGAATATATGAAGCACTCTGCGACAATTGATTAATAATCATTAATTTCTACAGAGAAATTATTTACAAATCTTTGTATCGAGTCTTTTTTTTTTATTTTATGAAAATATACATTCTAAAAAAAAAAGGGAGGAAGAATCTAATTGTTGATTGCAGATTGTATATAGATGGATGATGGATGGACATAAATAAGTCATTTATTCTAATGAGGTTTTTTAGATTATTTTTTTAATACAAATGTTCATTAAAATAATCATCAAATTTTTTTAGTAATACTAATATTAATATTATTAGTATTGCATCAAGAATTTGTCGATGATGTTATTAGAGTTTCCTCATTGCCCTCATCGCTTCCACTATTACTACTACTATCATTAACTTTACTAATATCAACTTTGTCACCTTCTTTACTATCATAATCATCATCATAATCATCATCATAACCAAATCTTTCCACATAATTTACATCATTTTTCAACACTGACACTTCATCATCATTATCATTATCTTCATCTTCTTCTTCATTATCGTCCCTTTCTTTTTCATTTCTTTTATTTCCTCCTCTTTCACTACTTTCTTTATTGGCATCATTTTCACTTCTTCTTATACTTGAATGTCTTTTTGGTAAATTATCTACGCTGTGCGATAGTAAACTAAGTCTGTTGTAATTTCTTGGTTCTGATAATTGTGAAGAAGGTGTTGGTGTATTACGAAATATGATTCCACTTTCTAATGATTGAATTGTAAGTGATGATGGATTAATAAAATTACTATTATCATTTCCTCCGACTCCAATTCCTGCTCCAGCTCCAATGTCATCACCACTATCATCACCATAATTACTACTACTAACATTATCTGAAATATCATATTTAAGTAGATTTGGGCTTGCAACACAAACTACTGGGAATGCACCTTTGTTACCAGTATTTTGATTTGTTCCAACTGCCCATCCATCATCAAATATTTGGTTTACAATAATCGTATCATTAGGCATCAAATCTAATTCATCAGGAAGTCGTGAACTATAAGGAAACACCACTATGACAAGTTCACTTCCTATATCCGAGAATGGTGTTGATACACTGTTACTATCATCTTTCTGATGATGTACAGTAATTTCGATTGAAGGTGGTGATAGTGGTGTTGTTATTTGATTTTTGTTGTTATTGTCATATTGTTGTTGGTGTGGTTGTTGTTGATGTATTTGTCGTTGTGTTTGTAAATTTATTTGTTGTTGTTGCGGCGGATATTGTGGATAATTGTTGTTAATATCAATCATTGCATCATGATTTTTATTATTATTATTAAAATAATAATAATTAAATTCATTACTATTAGTTGACAGCAAAGAAGATGTGCCGCCAGTTGATGGATTTGGTGTTATACTAGAATGTGAAAATCGGCTCATCATTTCCGATCTCCCATCTCCGCTATTATAATTATTTAATATAGGTGCTTTAAAGTATGGAACAGAGAAAAACGAAGATCTTTTCTTATGATTATTATTATCATTTGATCTGCCTGATCTTCTTTTCATGCAAAATATTATTAAACATATCAATAATAATAATAAAGCAAATGAACCAATAATTATACCTATTATAACCTCTATTTTTATTTGAGATGATTTTAAGTGCGGCGGGTTTGGTTGTGAAGGTGGTGTTGTTATTTGAGGTGATTGCGAAGGTGGGTCAGGTATTGTTGATGTACTTAATAAATTAGTCTTGGGACAATTTGTATTTGTATTTTGACAACATTGATTATTATTACCAGATGTGGTTATGTTACAAAAATTACAAAATGAATTTACATCTTGTTGAAATCCTAATTTTTTTTAAATAAAAAAAATTAAGAATTAGAATTAAATAATATCTATATCTCTTTTTCTTCCCACAACAAGAAATAATAATATAATAAAATTATGATGTTTCACTTACCACAATTAAGTTGCTCATTTAGTTCTCCAGATATACAACTTGGCGAAGTGTCAGTGTAATTTCCATCGGCACACCAATCAATTAGAAGACTTAATCTTACAGATCTTGTAGAAGTATCGGATGTTGTTGGACATATAGTAGAATTTTTTGTAGATTCTATCAATGATGATAAATGGCTATTACAAGTTTTATTGCATATTAACCTCCTTTCAATTGCTTTTTCTGATGGGCACATTCTGGAAGGTACACTTTCTACTAATCTAGCACATATCATTGTAGTAGTGTACCTAACGTACATACTTTTTGAATCGAAATTTGTACAATTTAATCCTTCTATGTAATAAGATTTAACATAATCATTATTAACATAGTCTCGCAGTAATAAATCAAACTCTTGTATTGAACTGGCTCCCAACAGCCAATTATAATTTAAACCATCAGAGCCGTAATTGAACATTGCCGAGGAAATAGAATATTGTGAAAATGCTGGACATGTTGTTGATCCCTCCAGCGATAAACATGGTGGCATTTTTACGCCTTGTCCGTTTACTAATAATATACATGATGATAATAAATTTGATATTATTATTATTACAATTAAATATGCTGCTGTTGTTGTTGCTGTCAAATTTAATGGTGTTATTAGATTTTTTATTTTTTTATTAACATTATTATTATTATATGTAATTAATGACATTTTCTTAAATAAAAAAATTGATTGATTTTTATATATGCTATTTTGTTAAATATTTCTCTTTTTTTTAAATTGAAAAAAAAGCTGCGAAAATAATGAAAATAATGATGGGTGATGATGATGATGATGATGATGAATGTTAAAAAAACAATAATGTATAAATTTGTTTTTTACAAATTTTATATATAAAAAAAATTTTATGTACAAACAGAATATTTTACATTAGAAAAAAAAATTTATTTTTATATATAGTTTAATTTTAAAGTTTATTCTAAATGTTTTTATTTTTTAAGAATTAAAAAAAAAAAAATTATTAAATATTTTTGATATTTAATATTTTAATAATAACAATACTATAAAAGGTAAATAAATATTTAATGATTAATATGTTTCAATAATAATTATTAGTGATAATTGTTTGTTAGAAGAGGAAAGATTTATATTATATAGCATATACATTTATTTATATATAATACAATGTTTGCTCAACGCCACAATTGTACTATCGTGTAACGTGATTAGTGTTAGTGATTTCATATAATTGGCTTTTCTTTTTCTCTTCACACATTTGTCAGAATCTTTTCTTATTAGCTATTCTTATATATTCTACAATTCATTTTTCTATAACAAACCTTCTATTCCTATATATAATTTTTCTGCCTTTATTTATTATAGAGAATGTTTATAAAAATGTTCATTATAAATAGAGAAATTAATTATAAAAAATAAATTGGGGACAAAAGGGAAGTTCATTATAGAGAGATTTTACTTAGTGTTTATTATAGGGGGATTCATTATAGAGAGTAAACTGTACATCCTGTTTTTTAGGCACAAGATACATTTGCAATTCTGAGATGTCTTCTTTGAAGTGGACCATTATCAATGTTTTTCACCCTTTCAAAGTCTTTTGGAAATTTTCCAATGGCCCACATTCTCCTTATGCACTTAACTCATATCAAATTACTGGATTGAGAGATGGTGATGGCAAACCATTCATTCGAATCATAGATTATTTTCTTCCTCTTTGGCAAAAAAAATGAAGGCAATGAATATTGTTGACAGTTTTTGTTAAAGTATATTTACAAAGACTACAATAGTTTTTGACATGGTAAATGCTAGGGCTTGAATCATAACAACAATATTTCTAGTCAGAAAGGTGATAAATTATGTCTGGAAAACTTTCTTTTGTTATGGGAATTGCTTTTTCTTGATCATTATAATCTCTTTTAATCTTGAGGAATGCATTTTCCATCAATTTTGAGAGTTGTTGTAAGTTCTAACTTTTATTGGGGGGAAGTATCTAAAGGTTTGGGAATATAATTCCCTTTCTTGGATCATGGTATCCAGATTTGAGCTCATAAGAAGTGCTTATGGTTACTAGTTTACCAATCAAACCTTCTCCCAAACAAGCAATAATTTTTTGGCAACAGAAAGTCAAGGAGTTTTGTCATAAAATTCAGCATTAACATTGGTGTTGATTTTTCTTTATGGAAATTTTTTTTTTCTGTATTTTTTTTCTCACTATCTGATATGAATATCTATCTTTCTTAAGCATAATATTTTCCATGGAAACACCTTCCCAGAAAACTCCACAAAAGTAATAATTTTTTCATGTATCCATCAATTTAAATTGTATGCAAGACAGGTGATTATGTAATGATAAATATATGATATGTGATGACCCCATTCCATCTGTCTTTTTATTTATTACTACTATTATTATAAAAATGTTGTGTGACTAAATCTGCAAACTCTATGAATAAGTATATAAGTATATTGTGCTTGTACTAAGATTATAAATATCCACACCATGATTTACCCATCAGCTGTCTTTTTTTGTTACATGAGAACAATTAATTGCTATAAAATTTTACTCAAACCATTCATCTATATCAGATTAACTAATTGACCCTTCATATAGGCTGATTGGCCAAGTTTTCTGAAATAGTCATATCCATCTTAAATAAAATGAACAATACCTCCACAAAGAACAAGCCAAACCTTTTAGGAACAGAAAACTTTCATACAAGAAAGCAGGATGTAGATGTAGGTTAAAAGAATATATAAAGAATAGCTAAAAAGTTAAAAAAAAAAGCCTTAGTAGCACTCTCTGTTTTATTTACTCCAGTTATCTTTATATGGAAGATTAGACTCTATCACTATCACTATCACTATCACATTTACAATTATGGTATTGAGTAACTTCATAGCCACGGCACTTTGGGAGTACAAAATTCTGGACAAACAAAAATAAAATACGCTGGTAAAGAAGATTCATGACCTATACCAAATAAAATACCAAAAAAAATAGTTCTACTTGCGAATTGGTTTTCAATGTGTGAATTAGTTAATGTTAATATTGCAGAAATCGCTGACTATTTGCGGATTTGAACAAAAAAAGTCTCCCACTAATTTATTAATAAATAATAAATAAAACTTGACAAGAAAGAAACCTGATGTAAATATATTTGTATAACCCAATCATATGTACAAGTATGAAAAATCTGTGGAGAATTATTTATTGTACAAGAAGAGATGCAATTTTAATTTGGAATGCATTGTATGTGCGTTTGTAGATCAAATTATTTTAATTATTTTGATTCATTCAAACCCAAAGAATTCTAATAAAAAATATGGTATGATTGTATATAAACAATCATTTAATTTCGCCTTATTCTTATTTTAGTAAAATATCGAAGCCACATTTTTAATCTTGATTGGTTCATCAAAATATTTTTGTTTTCCTGACTAATTGTGGCTTGTTATTTTTGTTATTGCAAAGTGATCATTTGACGTCACAAAAAGTTTCTGGGTCGAACCATATTGGGAACTAGTAGTTTCTTGTCAACTATTTAGACAATATAAATAAATGACGAGTTTACATGTGCGTTACCAAATGTAATTTTTCGCATAGTTCTTGTTTACTAATACAAGTTTTAAGTCAATACAACAATTTGCTGTTATAATACTAAGCAATTAGCAGAATGCGATTATAATATTTTTAATATAACCACATACTAAGCAATTAGCAAAATGAGAAAATATATTACAAAAATAGAGTTGAATCTAATGAAGATTGTTAGTATATTAATAAATAATGATGGTAGGTTAAAAAATTTATCATGAAGAAAATAACAATGAAAACTTAAGATAATGAATGAATAAAAAATAAATGAAAATGAAAGATAAATCTTTTTTATTAATCAACCCGTAAATAAATATATAGAGGGAGTAAACATAGATGATTTTTGTTAATCCCTTTTGTTCTCGTTTAGATAGATCATTGATGTAAATGGTCTAATGACAGGTTGGATGGGGAAAAAGGAAAGGATCGATTATTATTGTTGTACGAATATAATGAATAAATTATAAATAATAAAAATAATAAATAAAAAACTTTAAACTTGCCCTTCATATTGAATTGCAACCAAGTAAACAATAAAAATCAAAGCTGATAAAAGAATCCCAGCTGGACTTGCATACCTAATTATTACATATATATAATAAATTTTTTAGTAAATAACATTTATTCGTCTATTTCCATGATTTATTTCCATAAATGTTTACCATAAAGCAGTTCCTAAAAAACTCATTGTAGAACCATAATACATTGGATGTTCAAGAACGTTGAAAGGAAATGAAGTGACTCTTTCATTCATCAATATGCCAAAATAATCACCTTTTTATCAAAATAAAATAATCATCTAATCAATAAACCATAATTAATAATAATAATAATAATAATAACAACAACAATAACGATGATGATGGTGATGGTGATAGTAATCAATTACCAAGAAATGTTCCAGTAATTCCTAACATATAAGTCGATGATATTACAAAAAGCATTCCAGAACCAAATAATATTGCTCCCGACAATTTTACTTGATAATTGTTAAGTTCTGGTAAAGTTGGTTGATGTTCAATTGCCCGATGATATCTAATAAATGTATTCATGTCATTAAGATGATTATTAGAAAAAAAAAAAAGAAAAATTAATAAACTTACAAATAATCTCTTAAAAGACCAAGCGAGAAAATAGTAGTGGCCAATCTATAACAGCCAATATAAGGATTCCCACCCGCTGCACGAGTTATAAAACGTGTTTTATATTCTATTTTATATTTTCAAAAATTTATATAATTTTAAAATTATACTTATTTATTAAAACCAACCAACATATACGATAAACAATCAATTAATACCTTTTCTTGCCATCGAGTTCCAAAAAATGGGATTAAATAAAATTGAAGCAAAAGAAATCCAAAAACTTGTTTGACTAAAATCTATCAATTCTAAAATTTTTTCTATCATCTTTTTCCAATTGAATCGATTTGAAAAGAGAGAATCAAATTTTTTTGTTAATCTCGATTAGTATAGTAGTGGTTCATACCCCCCACACGTATTGCACAGGTAATAGGAAAGATCAAAAGAAATCATAACATATAATAAATTTTATTATTATTTATAAAGAAAAATTTTTTTATGATGATAATCCTTTCCAAGTAGAGCAATTAAACACCTAAAGTATTTTATAATTGTAAATTTTGTTTATTAATAACGATGCTTTTAAAAAAAAATATTTAATTATAAATAATTATTGTGGAAAAGGTAAATTCCAAGTGGCAAAGGTGACAAAGAAAATAGTATTTTCAAAGAAAAGCTTTGAGAATGATCATTTTGCTGAAATTCTTTATGACTCAGAAGGGATCCATTACTGAATCCTTTTGATGAATTTGATATATTGGAAAAAGGGCAGAAAATCCATTCTTTCAACATAATATATTCAAGTACAAAACCCCAAGTGTTCAACCATCATTAAACACTATTGATAAAATTATAAAATTATGGAAAT